TAAGATCACATTCTGAGGTGCTGGTGTCAGGGCTTCCAAGTACAGGTTCTGGGGGGTCACACTTCAGCTCCTGGCGTGGGGGGACCCCGGGTCCTCCAAGCCTTGGTGGCGCCGGGCTCCTGGCAGCGGGTTCGCCAGGTCATTAGCAGGGCTGGTATGCGGGTGCCTGGGTCTCACTCGGCCTGCCTTCTGGCCACGGACGCCCCTCCTGCAGGCCACAGGGACACTGTCTGCGGCCGTGGTTCCCACCAGGCCCGCTGTGAGCTGGATTCGGAGCAAGACCCCTTCTCCTCTGGCCTCCATTAGCCCACTCTGAGAAGCGGGCTGAATGGGTTCAGAGCCTGTATAGAAAACCCCAGAAGGTCTGGGAACTCCCTGCTCCAGGGCACAGGAACCCTTGCAAATGGCCATAGGCCCCTCCAGGGAAGGTTCCAGGGTCAATTCATGGTCTACACCTGTGTCTAAATCGCGGGGCCCATCCTTACCAGCCCCATGACTGGGGAAGAGGTCAGCAGGCCCCATCGTGGCGGCTAGAACTGTCCTGCTTTGCTTAGCTGTGTGCTCACGTCCTTCCGAGGCGCCCTGTGATCAGTTAGCCCACGGTCCCCACGGCTCAAAGAATTCTGAGTCCCTCTGCCGCCGGGTGACTTCCCGTGGTCTCTGCTTCCACTCCGTGTCCAGCATTCAGGGCCCACATCTGGCAGCCGCACGCCAGGACCGCCCTGTCCCCACGGGGGCTCCACCTGTGTGCGCTCTGCAGCCGCTCGGTGCCCGGGGCGTCCCAACCGCCGCTCAGGACAGGTGGCAGGCTGCGCGTGATGGGCCTGTCCCAACCCCAGCACGGCGTCTTCCCCACACCAGGGGCCTCCCTTGTGCCTGCACCTTAGGAACACCTGGGGAAGTTTTCATGCCTTTGTTTTTAGAGAGGGGTGGGGAGAGGGGCAGAGGGAGAGAGAATCTTTTTCTTTTTTTTTTTTTTTTTAATTTTTTTTTTTAATGTTTTATTTATTTCTGAAAGACAAAGAGAGAGAGAGAGAGACAGCATGAGCAGGGGAGGGTCAGAGAGAGAGGGAGTCACAGACTCTGAAGCAGGCTCCAGGCTCTGAGCTGTCAGCACAGAGCCCGACGCGGGGCTCGAACCCACGAACCGCGAGATCATGACCCAAGCGAAAGTCGGACGCTTAACCGACTAAGCCACCCAGGCGCCCCGAGAGAATCTTTTTCTTAAGTTTATTTTGCCAGAGAGAGATGGAGAGAGAGAGAGAGAGAGAGAGCGAGCGAGCATATGTGAGCAGGGGAGGGGCAGAGAGAGAGGGAGAAAGAGAATCCCAGTCCACTAACAGTGCGGAGCCTGATGTAGGGATTAGTCCCACAAACCCTGAGATCAGGACCTGAGCTGAAATCAAGAGTCGGATGCTTAACTGAGCCGCTCAGGTGCCCTGAGAATTTTTAAGCCCATCAATGCCACACCCCTCTCCAGATTTCATGGGTACAAGAGCATATCTTCCCAAATGGCCTAGTGACTCATGCACAGCCAAAGCGGGAGGCTTGCTCCTTGCCGTTTGGCCCAAGTTCTAGCACGTAGTCCTCACCAGGGAGCTCGAAAAGAATGCAGAATACCAGCCCCTCCCCCAGAATGGCCGCATCAGGACCTGAGGTATTGCAAGACTGCGTACGATTTATGGCCAGGTACCTGAGAGCAGCTTTGCCGGCAGTGGGCTCTGCGCGGGAACCACCCGGCAGGCTTGATAAACGGAGCGCGGCACCGCCACAGTTTCCGATCAGCAGGTCTGAATGGGGCCTGAGAATGTGTATTTGCAACACGCTCCCCGGTGATGGGGATGCTGCTGGTCCAGGGACCAGATGTTGAGAACCACTGCTCTACAGACCGCCGAGGACATTTGTCATTCCAAGCTAACGACCCCGGGGTGAAGTGCAAGATTCTGTTAGCGGGGGCACCTGGCTCAGTCGGTTGAGCGTCTGACTTGGGCTCAGGTTGTGATCTCGCAGTTCATGGGATTGAGCCCCACGTCAGGCTCTGTGCTGACAGCACGGAGCCTGCTTGAGATTCTCTCTCTCCCTCTCTCTGAGAGACAGGGGGACAGAGGATCTGAAGTGGGCTCTGCACTGACAGCAGAGAGACCCTTGCAGGGCTTGAACTCTCAACCCACAAAATCATGACCCGTGTGGAAGGTGGACGCTCACCGACTGAGCCACCCAGGTGACCCTTCTCCTTTTTTCAAATGTTCACTTATTTATTTTGAGAGAGAGAGAGAACGAGTACAAGTGAGGGGCAGAGAGAGGGAAGGAGACAGAGTCCCGAGCAGGCTGCATACTCAGCGTGGAGCCTGACACCGTGAGCTCGTGATCTGAGCCAAGACCAAGAGTAACCGACTGAGCCACCCAGCGCCCGGGATGTTTTATGTTTGGTTTTTGCCAGCTTGGACACGGCCTGTCCTGTGTGCCTCGCATACATATAAATCCCAGGTGAGTTTTCTGAATTTGGAGCTGTGCCATGGTAATTTTTAGAAACCCCTTAGCCATTATTATTGAGAAGCAGAGAGGTATGAGTGAAGGAGGGACAGAGAGAGAGAGGGAGAGAGGATCCGAAGCGGAGAGAGACCAGCAGAGAGCCCAGTGCGGGGCTCGAACTCACAAAGTGCACGATCATGACCTGAGCCAAGTCAGATGCTCAACTGACTGAGCCGCCCGGGCGCCCCCAAGCCATTATTTCTACAAAGGTGTCTTCTACCCCTTTTCTCTTCTTCCACTCCAATGACACACGTTAGACCATGTGAAATTACTTATTCCAGGCCTTTTGTTTGCTCCGTTCTCTTGGGGCGGGGGGCTTCCCACCTATTTCCCCCTTTGTTTAGTTTGGGTGGTTTCTATGCACGTATCTAGAAGTTCATGGTTCCTTTCCTGTCACTGACTGTGTTCATGCTCGTTGAAAGCTTTCTTCGTCTCTGTCACGCTGTTCTTTGTTTCCGTCGGACTCTCTCAGTCTCCATCTCGGTGCTGGAATTCCCCACCTTTCCCTTCACGTCGCTTACCTTCCCTGCCGGAGCCTGCACACAAACCCTGCAGACGGTGCTGGCTTCTAAGTCAAATCTGGATCCGGTTCTGTTGTCCTATCTTGCTTGTGGGAGTTTTCCTTTGCGTGGGGGTCTCGTAGAAGACCAGAACTCTCCGGAGGGCAAGGGAGACGGAGGCTACTAGGGTTTCCTTCTGGAAATGCACATCCCTCCTCTGTCCAGCTGCCTCCGTAGGGGTGAGTCAAGCAGGCTGGGAGTTGAGTGAGTCAGGGCTTCGTGGCTGTCATGTTTCTTTAGGGCCCACTGACCTCGGATCCCTCTGGCAGCCCCCGTGCTGAGGGTGGAGGATGGTTTGCTGGACAATCTTCCTCAGTGTTCCCGCTCCACCTCCAACTCCAGGCCTCCACCGCGCACCCGCACGTCAGGGACGGTCTCCCTCTCTGTGCGGAAGGACGGAGAACTCGTGGCGCAGGCTGTGTGTGCTCAGTGGGCGGCGGGTAGACTCTCTGCTGCCCGAGTCCAGCCCCGCCTCCAGGCAGGCCTCGTGTCCTTGGATCTTGGGTAGGACTTCCATGGGGACCCCGTTTCCTCTCCAGGGACAGAAGCCCTCCAGGGGGCCGGGCCCAGGATGTGTTCCGACAAGGACAATGGAGCGACGCCTTCAAAGACTTCAAGCTCAGATTTCTAGACGGAGGGAGACGTCCCAGACTGAAGGAGGGATGTGAGGTGCAGGCGGGGCCAGACCTGCAGATGGGAAGCTGCCATCCCAGCTCTCTGATCGTTTAGGAGACGCTATGCTTTCCTAGGTTTTCCAGCTTCTCGTTCTCAGACTGGGCTGATTCTGGCTCCAGCCCTCTGCGCCCTAGGCGGAACCTTCCCCTGCGTGACTTCTTACAACTTCACCACCTTCCCTTAGAGAGCTGATAAGGGATGAATCGTGCTCAGATTCGCTACGTGACAGCTGTGTAGCGTGCATTCCACAAACCTCAGGAAAGCGGTCACAAAACACCCAGCAGCGCCCCCAGGTGCTGGCCCTCCGCTCCCCAGGCTCAGACCGCCGTGACGGGCACTGGCAAGGGGAGAAGGGCACCTACGGGCGAAGCCTGGCTCCACCAGGAGATAAGCAGCCATGGAAGAAGGCCTTCTGCATGCCTCTGTCCACCCGGAGTCCTGGTGAAGGGTGCGGCTCTGGGGTGTGGGGGGCTTGCTTAATGAGCACCTGCAAACGTCCCTGGGGGCCGGGGGTGGGGGGGAAGGTGGGGAGCACGGATAGGCCGGTCAGCCTCGGATCTCCTTCCTTCATCTGCGGCTCCTCTAACTGGACACATGGCTCCCAGCCTTTTCCAGTAGTGGGGCTGCCTTCTGAGGCCACACTCAGCAGGTCCCCTGTGGTCACCAGAGATGGTTCACCACACTGGCTTTTGCTTCCTTTTCCTCTGAAAAACCGCGGGGCACTCAAGAAATGAGTGGGTGTGCCTGGGCCTGGCTGGCTAAGCTCTAGCAGGCCAAGGACCGGGTCGATGGACCAGGGCACCGAGGAGGTGGCCAGGCCCTTCTCAGGCTGCAAGATGATGTGCCCATCCTGGTCCCTGTCCCCTGCCTGGGGACGATCCCCTGGGTCCCTAGATGTGCGCTCGCCCCTGCCTTTCCCGGGCATCACCCTGCCCTGTGCTTCTCGGGCCCCTCGGTATCCTGACGTCCCCCCTTCCCTGTGCGCCCCCGGAGCCCTTCTGTCTTGCGCTCGCCCTCCCTTCCCTGGGTTCCCCGGGGTCCCTCGGTGTCCTGGGCGCCCCCCTTTTCCTGTGCGCCCCCGGGCCCCTCGGTGCCGCGTGCATTCCCGCTGTCGGAACGGCCGGATGGCGCGCGGCCGCCCCGTGACGCATTTCTAACCACCAGGAACCTCGGCCCGGCCGGGCGCGCGCCCGACACACCGGGGCGCGCGCCTCGTGCACGCGCGCCGCCACGTGACCCCCGCGTCGGCCAACCGGCACGCAGGGATTTGGGGGGCAAAGCGCGGCCCCGCGAGCAGTTGCGGCGGGAGAGCGGCGGGCCGAGAGCGTGACTCGCCCGCTCCGGCGCTGCCTGCTTCCCCGCCGCCGCCTCCCGCCGCCGCGCGCAGCCATGTCCGAGGAAAAGCCCAAGGTAAGGGCCGGCGGGCGCGCGGCCGGGGCCCCTGGGTCGGCCCCGCGCCCGCGCCGTCCCCGCCGCCCCCCGCCCCGGTCCGCGGCCGGCGCCTTCCGCGACCTCGGGATGGAGGGGGGAGGGGAGGCGGCGTCTGCGGGGCTTCCCCGCGCCGGGGGCCTCCTGCCCCTCCCCCCGCACGCCGCGCCGCTCCCCTCCCCCTCCTGCCCGGCCCCGCCCCGCCCCGGCTCCGCCCCGGCCAGGCCCCGCCCCGCCGCTCCGCCCCGGCCAGGCCCCGCCCCGGCCAGGCCCCGCCCCGCGGCGCGCCTCGCCCCACCCAGGGTCCGCCCTGGCGGTCCGGGTTCAGCGCCCCGGCCGGTGCGCGCCCCTCTCTCCCCGAGCCCGGCTCCCGCGGACCTGGGGCCCCGCGGCGGGCGGCACGGCGCTGGGAGGCGCGGACAGGGCAGCCCCTGGCTGGACCCTCCCCGCCGGGACCCCCCAGCCACCTCCGGATTCACCCTCCCTCTGCTCCCATCGGACCCCTACCCTTGACCTTTACCCCTTTCTCTCCCGGGCCGTGCTTCCCCAGGACCTTTCTCGCTGAGACCCTCCCCCGCTGCCGCCCCTACCGCCCCCCGCCCCCCTCCCCCCGCGGTACGTGCCTCCGCCCTGGGGAGTCTGGACGGTCCCCCTGTGTCTGCGCGGGGCGCGGGGAGGGCGCACGCCCGGGACCGCGGTGAGCCCGCCCCAGCGCAGCCCTGCCGCGCCCTCCCGCGCGCCCTCGCGTATTCATCAGTGTCCTCGGAGGGCGCGCCCGCCTCCCCAGCCCGCCCTGCCCTGTGCGCTCCGCCCTCCCCGTCACGTCCCCGCCGTGCGCCGCCTCTTTACCTCTCGCGGCGGCCGCTGTCCGAGTGTGCGCCCGCCTCTCCGTCTCTCCCCCCGGGGTGCGCTCCCCCCTTCCCATCGCGCCCTCCGAGTGCACGCCCACCTCCACTTGCTGCTCTCGGCCTTTGCGCTCGGCATCCTTTTTGGGCTCCCTGATGTGCGCCCCTCACTTTGGTGCCTTGGCAGTCAGTTCTTAGGAAGGTCCGACGTTACGTTAACGCTCTCGTATTTTGGTCTGCACTATCGGGGTCTGTTTTTTTGCCCAGGTGGAAAATGAGATGAGCTGAATGCTTTGCATGTAGGCTGCTTCCGATAGCAGCCGGTAATGGTGACTGTACCCCCTCTGCCTGGAGACGGGAGCCCGGCCCATCCTCCTACACACAGGAGGCAGAGTTGGGGTTGGGGGACCCTGCTGGGGCCCTCCCCGCACCCCCAGGCCTTTGCGGAAGCTTGCCCTGTCCTTGCCGCGACTTGAGAACAGGTCACACTGTGGACAGCCTCCTCGTTCCAGACGTGGTCGGAGCCTTTGCCTTTATGCCAGTTTCGCATGTTGGGTGGGGGGTTGTTTACGGGAAGGCAAATATAAATAAATGCCTCTACGGTTCTCCAGCGGCTTCCTCTTGCCCAAGTGTGCGCCCGGCCGCCCTCCTGTTTCAGGGTGCTTAAACTTTACCATTAGGTGGTCAACTTCTAAAATGTTTATTTATTCATTTTGAGAGCATGCGAGGGAGGAGTAGAGAGAGGGAGGGAGAGAGAGAATCCCAGGTTCTGCACTGTCAGCACAGGGCCCGACGTGGGGCTCGAACCCATGAACCGTGAGATCATAACCTGAGCCATAATCAAGAGTCGGATGCTCAACCGACTGAGCCCCCAGGCGCCCCTGTTTTAACTTCTTCTATACTGAGGCGAGGCGTGTCCTGTGAGCCTGGAGAGGGCAGGAGGCCCTGTCCACGTGCAGAAGAGTGAGGTGGACTCTTACCTCACACCACATACAAAAAAGCAACTGGAAATAGATCAAGGACCTAAATGTAAGACCTAAAACAATAAAACTCTTAGAAGACCTAGGACAAAAGCTTTCTGACACATTGGACTTGGCAACGACTTCCTGGATGTGACAGCACAGGCGCAGGCAACAGAAGAAAAAAGACAAATTGGACTATTTGAAAGTTAAAAATTGTGTGCATCAAGAGACACCATCCGCAGAGTCCGAAGCAGCCTACAGAGTGGGCGAAGATACTTGCAAATCATCTGATGATCAGTTAATATCCAGAATATGTAGATCACTCTTAAAAACAGCAACGAAAAAGAACCTTATGGACAAAGCGGGGCGCCGGGGCGGCTCAGTTAAGCGTCCGACTTCGGTTCAGGTCATGATCTCACAGCTTCTGGGCTCGAGCCCCGTGTCGGGATCTGTGCTGGCAGCTCGGAGCCTGGAGCTGCTTCAGATTCTGTGTCTCTCTCTTTCTCTGCCCCTCCCCCAGTCTCTCTCTCTCTCTCAAAAAATGAATAAATGTTAAAAAGTTTAAAAAAAAACCCAAAAATGGACAAAGCTCTTGAATGGACATTTCTCCAAAGAAGATCCACAGATGGCCCGTAAGCACACGAAGTCTGCTGGCTGTTGCTAAGAGGGAAATGCGGGTCAGTGAGACACATCACACCCACGGTGTGGCCGTTCCCGGGAAACAGACACGCACCGCTGGTGAGGCTGTGCAGCCGCTGGGACGCCTGTGCGCTGATAGCGGGAGTGTAATATGGGGCGGTCACTGGAGAAACGGAGTGGGTGTTCCGGAAAAAATCAAAAATAGAATTCCCGCACACCCTGCCATCCCACGTCCGGGCATTCGCCCCAAAACACTGAAACGGACTCGGAGAGATCCTTGTTCAGCCACGTTCACTGCCGCGTTCTTCATAACCGCCACGGTGTGGAAATCACCGCAGGGTCCACAGACAGATGTATGAGCAAAACGTCCACCTGTACAGCGAATCGTATTCAGCCTTAAGGATGTTCCGACCCTGGGACGTGATGCCGTGTGAAATCCGGCGGCCACGAAAGGACAGATCCTGTGCCATCCACTTACAGGGGGTCCCTGGGGGAGTCAAAATCAGAGACAAAGGATGGGCGGGGCTGGGGGGAGGGGAGCTAGGGCTTAGCAGGAACAGAGCTTCAGCCCTACAGGATGGAGAGGGTTCCGGAGACGGATGTGTTGAAGGTTGTAGGATGTTAGGGGTGTATTTCATACCAACCTAAGTGTTTAAACAGTAGATATTAGGTTATGTGTATTTTAACACAAAACAAATTGAAAAGAAGTCCTGTCTCTAAATGGATATGAATGTGGTGCCCTGGATCGGGTCCAGAACAGGAAAGGACGTTAGTGGGGAGATTGGGGAAATGCCAGAAAGACTCCGTGTTTTGTTCCTAGAAACGTGCGCCAGTGCTGGCTTCTCAGGGGGCAGGTGGGTGTGGCGTGGGGTGCTAAGGGGAGGGGGGTGGAGGGGGTGCAGAGCCAGGGCTTGGCTCCACACCATTTCTGTAAATTCTAAACTAAAAGCTTTATTTGAAAAAAAAAAAAAAAAAGCTCAACAAATGCATCCTTCGTCTCTGGTGAGGGGGGTCCCATCCTGGACACCCTGCTGGTACTGCCCATTGCCCACAGCGGAGTCCATGTTCCGGAGAAGGAGGCCACCCGCTGGGCCACCTTCCACACCCACGTCCTGCGTCCTGGGGCCACTTCTTGCCCGGAGCCCTCTGTGTCCCCAGCGGTCTATGTGCCTGGGCACTGGGGGAGGGAAGGGGAGCAGCCGTGCAGGCGGAGGCGGTACGGGTCAGCCCTGTCCGCACCCCCCCAGCCCACGTGGAAGTCGGATCCCCCCATGGGATGTGCAGGAGAAAGACGGGGCTGTGTGACTGTGACAGTTGACATTAAACTTGATTTTCAAAAGGACTCAGGCCAGTTTCATCATCTTGCTCAGAATAAATGACTCTGTTCTTCCCCAAAGGTGCCAGAGAAGTGAGGTGGCCCTGAGCCCACAGCACCTGGCGCGCCCGCCCTCCTGCAGCTCTGGGCAATGGTTCGGGGACCCAGGCACCCCCGGGGGGCCCGCTGCTCAGGGTTCTCCTTGGTCGTGAATCTTTGTTTATATTTTGTCTTCCCGGTCTGTAGAAGTCTGCACAACCTGTGAGTAGGTGTTTTAAGAGTAATCTTGTAACAAGACGGATTTGGGTTTTTCCCCAGGTATATTAAGATTTTTTCCTTTGAATTTAGAATCTGAAAGCTCTTTAGATTTGCACTGTGTCTCCTTCACTCAGATGCTTCAGTACAAGTTAAAGTGAGTTCTGTGTAAAAAGGAAGCGGTCCCAGCAGTGACTCTGGGCCGGAGGACTTTAAGAATTAGGTTGGTTTAGAGCCTTAGCCCTGGCAGTTACGCCCAGACGTGCGTGTGGAAACGGCGGCTGCTCCAACGCAGCGTTGAGAGCCGGCGTTGCATGTCTTTGCAGGAGGGGGTGAAGACCGAGAACGACCACATCAACCTGAAAGTGGCCGGGCAGGACGGCTCCGTCGTGCAGTTCAAAATCAAGAGACACACGCCGCTGAGCAAGCTGATGAAGGCATACTGCGAGAGGCAGGTGCGTGCCACGGGGGGCTCAGGCTGTACATGTGTGTGCAGCGTGTGTGTGTGCCCTGGGTGTGCAGCGTGTGCGTGTGCCCTGGGTGTGCAGTGTGTGCGCTCTGTGTGTGCAGTGTGTACATGTGCCATGTGTGCGTGTGCCCTGGGTGTGCAGGTGTATGCAGTGCGTGCACGTGTCCTGGGTGTGCAGTGTATGCAATGTGTCCCCTGGGTGTGCAGTGTATGCAGTGTGTGCGTGTGCCCTGGGTGTGCAGGTGTGTGCAGTGCGTGCAGTGCGTGCATGTGCCCTGTGTGTATGTGCCCTGTGTGTGCAGTGTGTGCGTGTGCCCTGGGTGTGCGCCCTGTGTGTGCATGTGCCGTGTGTGCGTGTGCCCTGGGTGTGCAGTGTGTGCACGTGTCCTGGGTGTTCAGGTGTGTGTAGTGCGTGCATGTGTCCTGGGTGTGCAATGTGTGCGCGTGTCCTGTGTGTGCGCAGATGCTCTTCCTGGGGGCCTGTTTTCCAGCGTCCCTGTCGGTTGCCCCATCTGCTATTCCCCGTGTGCACCTGTCACACCACCAGCCCTTCCCCCGGAGCCTGGCGGGTCCTGACGCAGCTGGGGTCACACTCAGGCTGCAGAGCAGTGAGCATGTGTGCGGCTCCGCGGCAGCCGGAACACGCGTGTGCCCCGCCCTCCTCACAGTGCGGTTTGCAGAGAGCGCTCGATTCCCTCCTCTTGCTCGCCCGTGTTCGCAGCGGAGCGATTGGCCCACATCCCCGCAGGGGCAGGGAGGGCGGGCCGCTCTCTACAGACCGGGGCTCACACACGCTCGTGCTTCCCGCTGCCGTGTCCCGCGTCCTCGTTCTCACTTGGGGATTCCCTTCGCCCCCAGGCCCTGCGCCACCCGAGTGCCTGCGCGGTGGCCTGGCCGTGGCCGCCCTGGCCCCTGTTCCTTTCAGTGCGAGGCAGCCTTGCCCCAAATGCTTTGCAAATACTGGTGGTTGGTTCGTTTCTGTCCTGGCTTTGCTGATGCCTTGGGCTCATTGTTATAAAAAACACTATAAAAATCCTGCGCACCTTCCCCTTTCCCTCCCGTCTTGTCAGACCTGCTCCTGGGGGGCGGTCACTCCCAGCCCCCTCAAGTGTTCCTTTTGCTTTTTCTTGGTAAATAGGTTTATATTTCTGCTTCTTCATGCTTTTGGCATTAGAGATGATTTTCCCCTAAGAAAGGTGGAAACTCAGCTCTCTGACACTGCCGTCTGCCCACATTCCTGCCCTGCCCTTCCAGTAGACTGCGTGTGGATCGCTTCGGAATGTGCTGGAATCTGCTGAGGCCCAGGAGGCGCTGCCCCCGGGACTGGGCTCCTGTCCGCATCGGGCTTCTGCTGGTCACGTGGTTCTTGTGTGTGGTTTTCTGTGTGTCCGTTAGTGATTGGTCAGCCACAGCCCCTGCGGGCTGCCCAGTACCTGGCCGTGGGCACCGTGGGCACGTCTCTGGCGTCCAGCCGCCCTCCCGCCCCTTCCTGCCCTGGCTACACCAGTGTGGCATGGCTGTCATCACAGAGCTGCCTCAGAATCCTTCTGGAGACTTCTTTTGCCTGCATCCTGTGTATCTTCTGGCTGAATCTTCTTCCCCTGTCTTCCAGCACCTTCCTCGGAAAAGGTTATCAAGGGCAGCACCTTCGAGACACTGTGTCTCAAGGTGATTTGCTTTTCATGAGCCTTCACGCTTGACTGTTTGGCTGCGTGTAAATTTCTAGGGTGAAGCTCATTCTCTTTTCGTGGAGCCATCACATCACGTTGTAGCATTGGTGTGACAAGTTCAGGGACGTTCGATCCTCTGTCCTGAGAGCTCACCGTCGTGTCTAGTGAGAGCACACTGTCCCTTTCACTTTCCTGGTTCTTTTTACTTTCTCTTTTTTAAAGTAATTTCTGTTCCCAACGTGGGGCTTGAATTCATGACCCTGAGATCAGGAGTCACATGCTCCAGCGACTGAGCCCGCCTGGCGCCCCCGGTACCTCCCACAAAGGTCCTGTTTTTCGCTCAGGAAACATGGCTGACGGTTCTTCTGGAGCGTCTGTCCGGTCCTGTCCCCTGTGTTCGGGACGCCCACGCGTGTAGGAGTCACCCGTTCGGGAGCTGCCCCTCGGGGTCATCGCGCCCACCTGGCATGGACTGGGCTCTCTCCTTGCTGATGGGTTTCCTTCCGGGAGACTCCCTCGACTTCCTGTTCCCACCTCCCGGGCGGACCCGCCGCTGTCGTGATGTCTGCTTCCCTGACGTTCTTGGTTCCTCCTCCGGGCAGTCGCTCACTCCCGGCCCCACCTCCCGGAGGAGGACGTTCGTCCGTGTGCGCGCCGCGGCCCCTCCCTCCCGCTGGGCCTCGCTGCCCGGAGGTCTCTCGTACCTGAGTCTGGCTCTCCGTGGCCCCGAGTCCTGGTCACGTGCCCAGAACGCAGCCCGGACAGCTGCTGACCCCAACGCCACCGTGGGTGACCTGCCAGGCCTGGTGGTTTTGTGGGGGGGCTCCCAGGGCTCGCAGCCTGTGCCCTGGGGGTGCAGCCGGCGGGGGATGGGGGGATAGGGCTGGCTGGTGCCTGGCTCCCACGCTGGCTGTCACTTGTCCCTCCTATCCTGAGTCCAGAGCCTGGCGTTGACCTTTTGCCCCTGAGAGGGACAGTGCCTACCTTTGGGGTTCGGGGGCCCCGATTTGGGGGTCCAGTAGGACCTTTCAGGCAGTCATCCCAAATCAGCTGTGTGCTGCATGTCCGCCTTGCGGGGGCCCCCGGGGCTCCGTGTCTCGTCCCCACCGCCGCCCTGACCTTGGGGTCTCGTGCCCACAGCCTGCAGCATCCAGCGGGCGGCCACATCCTCTGTCTGCCCGACTGTCTCCGCTCCTGTTGTCTTTGTTCTTCATTGTTTTACGACTTTCCGGGGGGGGGGGTGTGGGGGGAGGGTTGCTGGGGGGGGGGGTGGAGATACATGTTTTCACATTGCCTCTTCTGTTCAAGCGAAGTCAGAATTGCTTTTTAAAAGGAGACTTTCTCTTCTGGGACCCTGTTTGCCGTGTCCTGGGGCCACAGACGGTCTGCCTGTGCCGCTTCCTGGACAGAAAACGCTGCTGCAGCCCCCCACCCCCACCCCTGGCGCGGTGGTCAGGACTGCCCCCCTTACCCCCCCTGCACGTGGTCCTTGACCACAGGCCTTGTTGTTACTGGATGGTTTGTGGTCGCTTCTCGAGGAATGGGGGTGGGGGTGGGGCCGGGGACCTGCGGTGCTGCCAGAGCAGTGGTGTCTGGAACTGTCCGTGCTGGGGCATCGCGTGAAAGGGACCGTAGGCCCGCTGGGAAGTTTTTTATCATCGAGTGGATTGTAAATCTGTGTATACAGAATTCTGGTATTTTGAGGTAAGTATTTTATTTCTGGGAATTAATGTGTCATCTGGAAATATCTAATGATCAATGGATTTCCTTTTCAGGGCTTGTCAATGAGACAGATTAGATTCAGGTTTGACGGGCAGCCGATTAATGAAACAGACACCCCCGCGCAGGTACGAAAGCTCTGTGCGCGCGCTTGCTTTCTGGCCCGCTCCCCCTGGGAAGATCGTCTTGAAAGCTGCTGATGATGCTTTTACAGAATACATTTCTTTTCTTAATGGTTTTAACTATTAGGTTATTTAACGGATTTTTTAAAATCTATGTTTTTGAGATAGACAGACAGACACAGAGTGTGGGCGAGGGAGCAGCAGGGAGAGGGAGACACAGAATCTGAAGCAGCTCCAGGCTCTGAGCCGTCAGCACAGAGCCTGATGCTTGAACCCACGCACCGTGAAATCATGACCTGAGCCGAAGTCGGACGCTTGACCGACTGAGCCCCCCGGGCGCCCCTGAACTTTTTGGAGTTTTTAAAACGAGACACGTGCACTAGGTCACACATCCTCCTCCTCGCCAGGGCATGGGGCGGGAGGGCCGGGGGGCGAGCGGCCTTGTCCAGGTCACAGCCAAGGGTTGTGCGGACCCGCCCGGCACCTCCCCTGGACGCAGCCCCCCCGCTTCTAGTCAGGACACCAAACCTACAGCCCAGTTACTGCCCTGATCCTGTGCCCTTTCTGTGCCCGTGCACAAGGGCTGGGTGCCGGGGCGGGCGCAGCCTCTTCCGCAGCCACGCGCTTCCTCCTCCGTGTGGCCCCGCAGCCCCTTCTGGGCACAGTGCGTCACGCTGTGGCGAGGAGGCCCGGGCCCCGGGGTCAGCCGGACAGCCTTGCGCTCCAGGGCCACTGAGCCTCGCAGAGTCCCCGGCTTCTGCGTCTGTGAAGAGGCGACGGTGCCTGTTTTCTCCCCTCTATGCAGTCGTGGGAGGCGTGGGACTGGTTCGCGGGCGGGGACCGAGCAGCGAGGGGCTGTGTGTCTGCCTGCCCCGGGGGGTGTCACCCTGCTGGCACCGGGGTGCGGGAGGGGCTGGAGGTGGCCTTGCTGTCCCACCAGCCCGGCGCTCCTCTACATTTCCGGGAAGCCCATTACTTCCAGCCACAGTGCCGCTGTGTGAAGTGGCAGAAGCTTCCTTTGTTCAGAGAACGGCGGAGACGGGCGGGGGGGGTGGTGTTCGTGCCCCTGCCGCGGCAGGTGGAGATGGGGTGGGGGGTGGTGTCCGCCACGGCAGGAGCAGCAGCACAGGCGGAGATGTGGGCAGCACCCCTGCCCTGGTCTAGGGGGGAGGGAGGGGCTGGGCCGGGGGGGGCAGCAGTGTTCCCTTGGCTTTAGCGGATCCTCTTTGTGGGATTCAGCCTGCTCCGGGGTTCACGGGCACCGCCCGCCACGAGGCGTGTGGCCCTGCGGGTCCCAGGACCCCATACCGCTCGTTAGAGGCGTCTGATCGGAAAATGGTTTTGTGTGATATTCAGTAAAATTTTTATTTTATTTTATATTTTGTCAGAGGGGGAAAGAGAATCTTAAGCAGGCTCCATGCTCTTGGCCCGGAGCCTGACATGGGGCTTGATCCCACGACCCTGGGATTACATGACTTGAGCTGAAATCAAGAGTTGGACACTCTACTGACTGAGCCATCCAGGCGCCCTTCAGTAAAAATTTTGGACTCTTTTATTTATATAATTTTTTAATTTCTTAATTTTTTTTTCTGAGAGGGAGAGATAGCACAAGCAGGGGAGGGTCAGAGAGAGAGGGAGACACAGAATCTGAAACAGGCTCCAGGCTCTGAGCTGTCAGCACAGAACCCGACGCGGGGCTTGAACCCATGAACACGAGATCATGACCTGAGCAGAAGTCAGATGCTTAAGCGACTGAGCCACCCATGCGCCCCTACTCTTGTTTATTTTTTAATGAGATTCAGTTTTTTTTTCTTTTAAAGATTTTATTTACTTATTTTAAGTTATCTGTACACCCAACATGGGGCTCGAACTTACAGCCGAGGTCCAGAGCCTCCTGCTGTACTGACTGAGCCAGCCCAGTGCCCTAGAGACTTACTTTTTCTATCAGCGTCCTTAGCTTTGAATATTCTTGTGTGAGTTCTTCCCGGGAAGCGTGGGGGGTGGGCAGGGCTTACTGGAGGTCCGCCACCGAGCTTCTGTCCCCTGCCCGGGGCACACGGGCACACGGTGCGCGTGCCACACGAGCAGAGGCGGGGGGCGGTGTTCCACAGGGTGAGGAAGACAGTTCTGTTGAGCGTCTCCCGTTCTGTGACAGCGAGGAAACTAAAGGCTGTCCCTCTCTCCCGCACCCGGCGCCCCGCCAGCTGGAGATGGAAGACGAGGACACCATCGACGTGTTTCAGCAGCAGACGGGGGGCTCGCGCGGCAGCCGCTGCCGCTAAGGGCGCCACCTCCACAGGGACCGCCCCCACCGTGTCTTCGTCCTCGCGTCCGCTGTCGAAGAGTGAGCAAGTGGCCATGCCGGTCACAAAGGAGTCTGCAGAGACCCGAGGACTGTCACCAAAGTCACTTTCCCTCCGACATTCGGCGAGGGCAACTCCGAACTCTGTGTGCGGGGCCACGGCTGAGACCCGGCCGGTCACACTTGTCTTTGCGTAAAACAAGTTGCAAGGTTTCTTTTGGTTTGTTTTTGCTTTCGGTTTTGTTTTCCCTCCCCAGAGCGTTCCCCAAACTGTGGTCTGCAGGTCCGCTCTTCGTCCCGATGGGGACCTGAGCCCGGGTATCGATCCCCACCCCCCACCGCTTATTCCAGCCGAGAACCCCCGGCACCGGAGTGGGGGTGCTTCCGTTGGACAGGTTTTGGGGGCGATTTGGGATTGGGAGACAAACTTTCACTGTCTCGTTTAGGCACAGGTCTTTAAAATGCTAAATACTGCATTTCAGAATACGGTAAAGTTGAAGGGAAAATACTGGAATGCTTTTTTAAAAGGTAAAATGGAAGATAACCAGGTCCTTCAGAACTCAGCCCTGGGTCCCTGCTCCTCGAGAGACCCTGTGGGCAGGGTCTGGGGGCCGGGAGCCGTCGCCACTCACTGCCAGCTGCCCGGTGCCATGGTACGGGCAAAGGTCAGTGCAGCAAAAACTGGCTTTTCCCCCAAATAGAGAAGAACGCAATCCCCACATTTCTCACCTGGTAGTAGTGTGGGGTTTCACGCTCCTCCTCGTGTTTGCTTCGGGTAATTATGGTGTGTGTAGAAGCAAGCAAGATTCAGTATTGCTGAATTTGCACTTAGATTTTTGTGTAAAAGACCTGCTTCCAGGTGCGTTACCAGTGACACCGGTGCAAAGGTGACCCTGCGACGCCCTCCTGGACTCGGGCTGTGCTGCTTTCCAAACGGCCGTGGGGTTTACGCTTTAGTACGTGATTGTGCTTCTGTGACGTGTTGGGATCTGCACCGATTAAACTCTGATAGTTTTCTTCCCGTTGTTCTGTATGGACCCACGGCTGCCCTGTTCTAGTCATGGCGTGTGACCGTGACCGTCCTCTCTTGCTTGCCTGAAACCTTGCTGAAGATGTTCGCATTTCCTTGTGTTTCGCTGTTTGGGCGTGGGTGGGACGTCTGCTGGCTCTGTTGTGTTTATTCCCCGATTTGTATATTGTTTGTCGTCCTTTGCTACTGTAAACAGTAAATATAGTTTGGTATTCTGTCTCTTGGCTTGTCTTAAATACTGCATTTGGCCCTTGGGGCCTGTGTACAAGTCCGTACCTTTGCGGACCACGCAGCGAGGCACTTTAAGGCTGTGTGTTGAAAACGGAGCATTCACCTGATGGCTGCCCTCTGCACCCTTGAGGCTAAGCCGCGCCAGTGGCATTTCCCTGCCGAGGGGGGACCCCCCCCCCATTCCTCAGGAGCTCTCCCAGTCTGCAGCTGGACGGGCATCAGGACACTGTTCCTCTCTGGGGCAGCATGTGTAAAGAGAGGGCAGATTTTGGGGGCAGATGAACATGCACATTAATCTGGGCTTCTCAGTGTTTTTGATGTTTGAATATAAGACTAGTTTGTGCTGTGAACAGCCTACTCACGATAGCATTGGACCAAATTTCTGTATACCTTTACCCTAAAATACACATACTTGGGAGGTTTGTTTGCATTGTTTAATTTCATTCAGTTCAATAAATACTGCCACACCCAGGGACCACCACTGCACCCCACCCGGCGACCACCACCGCATCCGCAGACAAACCAAAGACTCCTTGGCCTCGTGGACGTGTTTTCTGGTCACAGGAGATAGGTAATAAACAAACCATTTATTATGCTAATAGGTTACATAGTATGTTATATGGTAAATTCTACAGAATAGTGTGTAGGATGTAAACGCGGAGAAGAAAATTTTTTTTTTTTTTAAATATTTATTTTTGAGGGAGAGTGTGTGTGTGAGCGGGGGAGGGGGAGAGAGAGGGAGAGGGGGACAGAATCAGAAACAGGCTCCAGGCTCCGAGCTGTCCGCACAGAGCCTGATGCAGGGCTCGAACTCAAGAGCCATGAGATCATGACCTGAGCCGAAGTTGGACGCTTAACTGAGCCATCCAGGCGCCCCTGAAAACTTGTTTTTTTAAAAAGTGTGCAGGTCTTTGCATAGGAGAGCCACAAAGGAGTCGATGTGTTTACTCTCTTTGGAGTCCGTGGGAGCGGGGTTCTAAGAAGCTTAGGTGGATCAGCAAGTCACAAGCCAACTGGGAACAGAACCACCGAGACAGGATGAAAAAAAGGGCTATTTATCCCCATGCGTGTTACACAGCTGTGCGGAGCCAGGGCACAAGGAGCCGGCAGGGTGGCTGGGTGCGCAGGTCTGAGCTACAGCGCCGCCGCCTCAGGGGGGCAGGTGGGCAGAGCAGGTCTTGCTATTTTGCCCCCTCAGGCCCCCCTGGGGCTCCTCTCTTCGCGGAGGCGGCGGTCTTGGGGTCCTGGGGGCCGTGCTGGCGCACCAGTCTTCTTCCAGCCTAAAGCCTGTTGGGGAGAAGTCAAAGGGGCATCAAATGCCTTCTTAATGGACCTTCTTGCTTTAACTGCGGTTGGGCCTGAAGGTCACCCTGAAATGGCCCTGTGCCACAGGGTGTATTTTGTTTTCATGTTTATTTTGAGAGCGAGTGGGAGGCGGGGGAGGAGCAGGGAATCTGAAGCAGGCTCTGCGCTCTCAGCGCTGATTCTGGATCCTGAGACGGAGCTCGAACCCATGAACCAAAAGACTGTGATCTGAGCCGAACTCCAGAGTCCCGGGCTTAGCCAACTCAGCCGCCCAGGCGCCCCCACGGTGCATATTTTACCGGGTGGGCAGGAGCCTCAAGTTTTATCCCCGTTCTCATGGCCTCTTTAAAAAATACACACCGGGAATAAAACCGGCGCAGCCAGCAGTCCACCTGCCGCGAACCTGGTGCCACCGAGTGATGGGGGCAGGGTGGAGGCTGCCGTCCTCCATCTCCGTCCCGTGTCCCGGTCCGGTCCCCGTGCTGGTCCGGCAAGCCCCCCAGGCCTCCATCCTCCATCCACGCCCCCCCCTTCAGTCCTGCATCTCCATCGTCGGCCCCGGTCCTTAATCAGGCCTTCCCGCGGCACTAGCGGTATGATGTAACCCGCTTGGGCGTCCGCGGCTCCGGGGCCTCCCGGAAGACCCAGGCCCGACCGGGATCTGGACTGCCGGCCGCGGCGTTAACCCACAAACGGTCCGAGGCCCCGGCGGACGGCGGGAACCTGGGAACCCTGCGCCCAGGCCGTGCCGGCCGCCGCGCCTGCGCCACTTCCCATGGCAACCGCCCCGCCGCGCACGCGCGCGCCGCGTCCCGGAAGGGTTTCCGGCCCCCCGCGTCGACCCGGAAGCAGCCCTGCGGTGGGCGGGAGAGACCTGCGCTCGGGAGGGGAGGCCGCGCAGCACAGCTGTTGCCGGGACGATGGCGGGGACGGCGCTCAAGAGGCTGATGGCCGAGTACAAACGTGAGTGTGGGGTGCGCGCCTCCAGTCTGGGGACCCGCTGCTCGCGCTCCCCCGTCCGTCCACCCCGCGTCCCGCGCGTCCCCGACCCCGCGCCCCCCACCTGCGCCCGCTCCTCCCGCCCCCGGGCTCCCTCCCGGCGGCCGGTCCCTGCTCGGTGCGGCCCAGGGCGCGCACGGCCGTGTGTGGCGGCCGGAGTCGGTGGGGGACGTGCGACGCGTGGACGCCCGGAGCACTGAGTCATGCCCGCTGGTTCCGCGTGGACGCAGGGACGGGAGTTTGGTCCTGTGCCCACTGCCTGCTCTCCGGGTCACACGTGCACTTGTGAAGGGGACGCCGGGAGAGGGAGTCCGCACCGGCACTCCACGGGGTGGGAAGCGCGTGAACAGTTACACGCAGCCTTTGTTCCTGTTTCTGGTTCCTTAGTAATTTAGAGGAGCCCCTCCTCCCAGCCTTGCACGCGTGCCGCGGGGGAAGTGAGGAAACCCGAAACTGCCTACCGAGGAGTTAAAACCAGAAGTGTAGGAGGAAAAGCGCATTGTGATGCGTTCGGGGTGAAAGGTCAGATTCGGTTTTGTCTTTAACAAGGGAACAGTTTTTGAGCAGTGGCACCTGTCGCTCCTCGTAGGTGGTGGTCAGAAAGCCGCCTTAGTGCTTTCCTAGCCAGGACATGTTCTAATGTTTGGGGAAAGCCAAGGGAGAGACGAAAGCCAGAGAACATTCCGTCTTCTGCCTTTTGACAGCATAATGCTCCGTTGGAAGAGTTGCCAGGAGAGGTCGTGGAGGGAAGGGACGCGCGGCCGGTGTTGTGAGCTGCCGGGGGAGACCAGGTGGTCCCCGCTTGTGGTTAAGAGAGGGTCCCTGCAGCCACGTCCGGGTGCAGCTGCCTCTGCCTGTCAGCCCTCCGGAGGCCTTGGCCTCTGCCCTTTGCCCCTCAGGGAAGATGAGTGCTTTTCAGGTTACTTGATCGATAGATGGCTCTTGATGTTGTTAGCTGCTGTTGTCATGGTGACATCGAGGGTGCTCTCAGAGGAAAGGTGAAACTAAACTAAAATAATGACTGTACTAAAAATGACTGGTAAATATGTGCGGAGCTCAGTCCCCTAACCGGGTTGGTGGCCCTGCGTGCAGAGGGTCCATGTGCGGCCAGAGCACACCAGGGTGTGGCCCGCGTCGGCTCCTGCAGGACACGTTTAAGCACCACTCGCTGCCAGCGTCCTCTCCAGCAGGAGCGCCTTTGAGAGAAACTTCTGGGGGCAGAGTGGGAACAGAGGGTTGGGTGGGAGTGGGGGTCACCTGTGTGGGGCACCCGCCATTCCTGCCACCCTGTACTGTGCCCCTGTACGTGTCTTAGGCTGGTTAGCCCTGGTTCTAGACTTCGGGCAGGGGTCATTGTCTCCTTTCTGTAGGGAGGGAATGTGTTAAGCCTGTTGGGGGAATGAAGTTCAGGCTGCTGCTTCCATCCAGCCTCCCGCGTGGTTGAACTAGTGTTTTCTAAGGGGTTTGCGGTGGCAACGGTTAGTTTTCCCTCCGCTGTACTTGTGGAAGCCTCCGTTCTGTCCACCGTGTTGTCAGCTGGCAGTAGTAATAAAACGCAAATAACACTTGACTTCCAAGGCTGCACCCCAGGTGTGTGTTGTATGTATTCTTATGTGTGAACGTGACATCTTGGAGTAAGTACGGAAAGCGGAGCCCCTGAGCTTGCTGGCCCTGGTCACTGGACACCAGTCTGGGCGCTGCTGGGAAGGCTCCCCAGAGGCGGCGGCTACAGGTTACCCAATAGCTGACTTGCAGGTGGGGAGACGATCTCATATTATTGGGGTACAACCCATTCACCGCAGGAGGCCCCAGAACAGGAGAGGCGGGAGGGGAGGTTCAGACATTCAGAGCGCGAGAAGGACCCCACCCACCGGGGCTGGCTCCAAAGACGCGGGAGTGGCCGGGAACGGGGGGCGCGGGTGGCCCAAGAATGGGAGACGGTCGCTGGCCGCCGCGGTTAGGACCAGGGGCCTCAGCCCGCAGAGGTGGATTCTGCCCACAGCCTGAGTGAGTCTGGGCGGCACCCCGCCGTGACCCCTGCCCTGTGAGAGTCTAGAGCACCTGCCTCTTCTGACACACGGAAACTGTGAGGTCATTGGTGGGTGTGGTTTTAAGCCATTGAGTTTGTGGTGACTTGTCACACCAGCGATAGAAGAGAATGCAGTGTGTAACCGAGGGGGCTCTGTGGCTGTTGTATCTTAGAAACAACGTAAAATTCCAGATAGTGATTCTCATCTTCTGTGAATTTGCATCTGGTGTGTCTTACCCCACCGTGAGGTGACGCATTCACTGTAAAGGGGGACTTTGCAGAAACGACCTTTCTGTGAAATGGGATTTCAGCGGATTGGGATGGGGTTCAGGCATACTTTTTCATATTTAGGAACTGCAGAAATTTCAAGGTGGTGGAACCTTGGATATGATTCTGTGCAGCCCCTGGTTTTCCAGATTTTGTAGGAAATTGAGTAACAGAGGCAAAATGATGTGCCTAGCTCCTTACAGCCAGGAAAAAGGAGAACCAGAAAAAGAACCCAGTTATTTCAAACGGGTATCTTTGCTTGACGTTCTGTCTTCACCCATCACTTGGCCGCCTCGAGAAGGGTCAAAAATAGACACAGGTAAGGGCGCCTGGGTAGCTCAGTCGGTTAAGTGTCTGACTTCGGCTCAGGTCACGATTTCACGGTTTGTGAGTTCGAGCCCCGCGTCGGGCTCTGTGCCTGGAGCGGTTTCGGATTCTGTGTCTCCCTGTCTCTCTGCCCCTCCCCTGCTCACACTGTGTCTGTCTCTCAGAAATAAACAAACATTAAAAAACAAAAGTAGACACAGGTATTGGGTTCTCGGGGTTTCCGTGACAAGGCTGAGTGGCAAGCAACACAGAAGTTTGCTCTGTCGCTGTTCTTGGGGCCGGGCGTCCCGACCCAGTGTGGGCAGGGCCGCGCTCTGCAGGCTCGAGGGAGGGTCCCTCTTGGCCCCTGGAGCTCCCGGGGGTTCCCGGCGGTTTTTGCTGTTCCTGGGCTTGTGGCCGCGGAACCCACATCTCTGCCTGTCCACCTTCTGGAGGTGCCCGTCATTGGTTTAGGACGCTCCCCTATCCCGTGGGACCCCATTTTAACTGCATTACATCTGCAAAGCCCCCATTTGCAAACACGGTCACATTCAGAGATTCTGGGGGACATTATTCAACCTAGTTCAGTGCCGAACAAGAACCTCAAACTTAACGTGTAAAAGTGACCTCCCGTCTTCCCGCACCACTGCTGCTCCCACAGTCCCCGCGTGTCTGTCGGTGGCAGCCGCATTCTTCCCGTTTTTTGGGCTCAAAACCTTAGATTTACCCTTGATGATTCACTGTTTGGTTTTTTTAAAGTGTATTTCTTTATTTTGAGAGACAGAGCACAGACTGGGGAAGGGCCAGAGAGAGGGGGACAGAGAGGGTCTCAGACAGGCAGGCTCTGCGGCACAGAGCCCGATGCGGGGCTCCGCCTCACGGACCGACCAGGACCTCACAACCTGAGCCCAAGTGGGGAGTCGGGCGCTCAACGCGCTGAGCCACCCAGGCGCCCCGTGTTTCACTTGTAAAGGAACAGCCTCTGGTTTTCTGACTGGTGCACGTTACATTTCTGCCAGCCGTGTGCTAAGGAGTTGCACGGGCCCCAGCCCCGTCCACACTGGCTGTGCTGGGCTTCTACACTTTCAGCCGTGAGTGGTATGGCATCTCATTGTAGTTTCTAATTTAAAGACTTTCTAATCCTACCATTTTCTGTCCTTGGTTTTGAAATTGAATTTTTACATTAAGTTTATTTACACTAAGAAACAAACCAGAACAGTTCACTCCTCTCTCCCACCCTCGCACTCTCTTGCCTCTGGCAGCCGCCAGTCTGTGCCTTTGTGTCTGGGAACTTAATTTCTTCATGTGTATATATTTTTTTATGTATCACCATTAAATACATATGATGTATATATTTTAACGTATATATATTTTTAACCTACATAACTGAATTTTTTTGGTGTGCTAGTATATATAAAAGTATGTTTGCACTGTACGGTGATCCACTAAATGTGCAGCAACATTGTACATCCTCTGTTTCTCCTTCATATATTCTTGGCTGCTTTGTCAGTAAGTTGATAGACCGTGTATGCGTGGGCTTATTTCTGGGCTGCTCTGTTTCTTTAATCTGTGTGTCTGTTTTTATGCCATTTCTACGCCGTTTTAACCTCTACAGCTCTGCATCATACTCTGAAATCAGTGAGCATGATGCCTCCAGCTTTGCTGTTTCTCGGGTTTGGCTATGCTGGGTCTTTTACGGGTCCACGCAAATTTTAGGAGCGTTCTGTTTTTTTGAAAAATGTCGTTGGAATTTTGATAGGGATGTCATTGAATCTGTATATTGGTTTGTGTAGTATGGACATTTTAGTAATATTAATTCTTACAGTCCATGAGCATGGAGTATCTTTCCATTGGTGTCTTCAGTCTTTCGTTAATGTCTCGTCACTTTCAACATACAGGTCTTTCCTTGGTTAAATTTATTCTGGGTATTCTGTTTCTTTTTAAAGCAATTATAAAAGGGATTTTTTTTTTTACGTTCTTTTTTCTGATCACTATTAGTGTATATAGATGCAACAGATTTTTGTGTATTGGTTTTGTATCCTGCAACTTTATTGAATTTGTTTATTGTAACAATTTACTGATGCAGTGTTTAGGGTTTTTTACGTATAATATCTTGTCAGCTTCAGATAGTGACAGTTTTGCTTCTATTTTTTCTAATTTGGATGCCTTTTATTTCTTTTTCTTGCCTAATTGTTCAGGCAAGGATTTCAAATACAGTGTTGAATAAGAGTGGTGAGAATGGGTAGTCTTGTCCTGTTTCTGATCTTAAAGGAAAACCTTTAAGCATTTCACTGTTGAGTATGGTGTTGGCTGTTGGTTTTTCATAGATGGCCTTTATTATGTTGAGGTATGTTCTTTCTGT